TAGACCTCTCTCAGATTTGTTCATTTTGTAATGATATCTTTAATTCTCGAATTTTGGTGAATATTTTTGTCAATTTTTGGTAAAAAGTGATATTTTCGACTTCGTTAAAAAACGCAAGTTCAATTGCTTTGATATTACATATATAGGTACTACATGTAGACCTCTCTCAGATTTGTTCATTTTGTAATGATATCTTTAATTCTCGAATTTTGGTGAATATTTTTGTCATTTTTGGTAAAAAGTGATATTTTCGACTTCTTGTTAAAAAACGCAAGTCCAATTGCTTTTATATTACATATATAGGTACTACATGTGGACCTCTCTCAGATTTGTTCATTTTGTGATGATATCTTTAATTCTCTAATTTTAGTGAATATTTTTGTCATTTTTGGTAAAAAGTGATATTTTCGACTTCTCGTTAAAAAACGCAAGTCCAATTGCTTTCATATTACATATATACGTACTACGTGTGGACTTCTTTCAGATTTGTCCCGTGCTTTTTATATATATATATTGTTCATTTTCTAATGATATCTTCAGTTCTTTAATTGTAATGTGCATTGCCAACAGCAGGAGCTATCTCAGCCGTGAGGCTGCTTGTCTTATATATATTACTGCACTATAATTTAGGAACTTTCATACAATTCATGCTATATTATTTTATAAGGGGTGTTGAGATTAATACAGTACATGTAGTATTAATAGAGGAAGATTAATACAGTACCATAGTATTATTTGAGAAACATTAGTAATTAATTGTTCCTACCTAAATTTTAGCCAGTATTTTCCACACAAAATTTTTAGATAAATTGTTGCATTGTTTCAGGATTTATAGTCACTTTTGTCATGCGAAGAAAAGATATTGCATAGTTAGTTTTTATCCTTCCGTCTATTTGTTATTTAATCTGGATTCTCAATGGACAAGGTTGTAATAATTACACTATGTTTTATTATATATACATGTATATTTGTTCAGTGAGAAAGGCTGGTCCTTGCACATTATTATTATTATACAGGCAGTCTAATTCTGTCAGTACCACACTTTTTAACCATTGATTGGTGAAAGTTTGTGGAAGTCTTTTTTTTTTTTTTTGTTTAAATTTGTTAACTCCACACAGAATTGCACATAGTACAGCCAGAGCACTACTTACCATTGAGTCGACTTAATCTTGCTTAGCATGCTTTCAAAACAAGCATAAATATTACAATGAAAAAATCTTTGCAAATTCTCAGTACCTATAATACAAAACTGCATGTCTTTTGTGACGTTGCAAACAAAAAAATCAAAGAACTGATTGACATTAGTTGTCTAGTGTATCAGGTATTTACTTAGGGGGGGGGGGGGTGTCTGAAAAAAAAAATAATCTGCTTACAATCTGTGGTTTGGTCCCGGCTAGAAAATAAGGT